CGCTCCTCTCGTCGGTCCTCCAGTCGTGAGACAACCATTGGGTCGAGCCTGTTAGGCTACTCGATTCTTCAAGGACGGAACCTTTTTTTGCGCGAGGAGGGGACGTGCACAGACTGAACTCTGTGGGACTCGAGCGATGGATTTGTCATACCCACTAAAAACCCTTCCTCTCTCCGCTTCGCTTCTGAGCAAGCATCAACCACGGAACCGCCTTACGGCATTACTTCAGCGTTGGGCTTAACCACGCACCGTTCCCTCATACTTGAGTTCCATTACATTCTGTTGTTTCTCTTGTTCTTCTCCTCTCCTCGAATTTTCCCTGCGTCATTCTTGATACCATGATTTTTATGCACAAGCCCAGTCGACCTCCTTCTTCACCACTAGCTCCATTAAATTTTCCGTTGTTAGTGGTGGGCTGATGTAATTTTCTAGCTTCGCCCTCTCACGTATCCACCTTGGGCAGTGGAAAAGCGCATGTTCAGCGTCATCGCCTTCACCATTGCAGTCCCAACGTCTGGAATGGTCCTCCTTATTAATCATTTTACGATAAATATTAAAAATCCCATATCCTGTCAGGATCTGCATGGTGAAGTGATCAATATTCCTCATATATCTTCTAAATAAACATACATCCACTACCAGTCGCTTCGTCCAATTGTCTTCTCTGTAAAATCCCCACTCCTCCTTCCATTTCTCCACGATGCGCTCCTTCACTGCCATAATCCTCTCTTAATAGACCGAAGCGGCACCAGCTCTTGAACGGGTGTTATACCGCTCCTGATAATCCTCCTCCGTAATGCTGTGGCGGCACTCGACAGGTCAAATACCATCACCCGTCACTAACTAACACCGGACAACGGCAGCGCAGTGGTTAGCGCCTTAGGGTCCGAACGTTCGGGACCCGGGTTCAAATCCCGGTGGTCGTAGTCCGATTTTTCTTCCACGACTCTTAACTAGGAAGAAAATACAGCAGTACCCCAGCAGCGACACCTACAGCCAGCAGCTACAATTATCACGGACAACACTTACACCCCAATGCGATATTTTTCGGTCCGAAGCGCAGCTGTGAAATAAATGGGCATAATGCCCATAAGCACGTACAGTGCTGCATGGGAAGCTGTACGGTAGGCCATAGAAACTCTTGTCAATGCAGCCCTTGGGGCCCTTTTCAAGATGTTCCTATTCTTCTTAATTTCTACTACCTTGCCCCATACAAGCGTTGCATATAACACCATCGACTCCCAGACCCTACAATTGAGTTTTCTAACAGAGCCAGTGGGCCCGTCGATATTGGGGAGCAAAGACCTAAATGCTCCCATAAGGGTGTCGGCCTTCCCGCACACCTTTTCCAAGTGAGCTCCGAAGCTTCTATTGCAATCCAGTTGGACCCCAAGGTATTTAACTTCCTGTCTCGTCGTCAGGAGGTATCCCTCGACGTTCGTCTCGATTACCTTGGGGATCCGTTTGCCCGTCAAGAATATCACCTCCGTCTTCTCACGAACAATCCTTAATCCACAATCGGCACACCACCGCGAAATCATGCCCAACGCATCGGATAACTTCAGATAACTTGATCACCTCTCCCTGCTTAGCCACGTCAAGTATGACAGCTAAGTCGTCAGACAATGCCACCGCGTCCAGGCGAGTAATCGTCTTTAACTCCATTAATTGCCCGTAGTACACCAAGTTCCAAAGTAGTGGCCTCAGTATTGATCCCTGAGGAACACCCGCGTACACGTTCCTTCTAACTGTTCCACCCGTCGTTCTCACTATAATATTCTGTCCTCGAAATCATTTTCGAGGAGCGTCAACAGTTTCTTCAGTATCCTTCTAACATCCACTTCCCTCAAGATCACACTCCAACTGAGGGTATTAAACGAGTTCTTCACATCGACTGCTCCCAGCACAGTTATTCTGTTTCTTCTTTTGGCCCAGTCGGCAAGATCAACCATACAGTTCAGGGCTTCAACAGTGCCCATTCTCCTTCTGAACTCATATTGGTCTTCATGAATTGGGTTCAGCCCCAGGCTTTTCTCGATAGACCTTTAAACGTGTGCTTCCAGACTTTACTCAGTGCTGGGAGCACGCTGATCGGCTGGAATGATGATGTCAGTGCTGGGTCCCTACCCGGTTTGGGAATGAGGACCACCCTTGCCTCCTTCCATTTTGCCGGAATCTTGCCCTCGGCGTTCACCACGTTCAATACCTCCGCTCTTTCGTCTATCAATACTCTGACCGCCGTCCCTGGTATACCATCTACACAGACCGCCTTCTTCGGATTAAGTTTCTTGCCGACGTCACCATCTGCGTTCAGATTCCTAGTAGTAGTATTAATCTGCATATCAAAAAAGGGGTATGCTTACGTGCGTTAGTGCGTAACATTTAATAGTGGCTGTGTGCTGTGCAAAGTGAGTGTGTGGAAGAGAGGAACACAGAAGGAAGAGGGGAAAGGGAGAATGGGTGGGTCGATACATTACGTTACGAGTTCGAGGAGGCGATACGATTTCTCCCCACTAAAATCAGAACGCGTTATACGCATTCATGAGCGCTCTCGCCGACATGTCGACGCGAATCAGTAACTCTTGATCACCCATTAAGCACATTTAGAGGACCAAGGCCGCGGTCGACGCTCGGCATCGAGGACTGTCGGTAAGATAAAGAGGAGTGGCAGGTGGTGACGATCAAGAAAAGAGCCGCTACTTCGCGAGGCGTGTCATAAAGTCGAAAAGGAGAGTAACACCAACGGAAAACACGTAAATATCCTCGGTCGTATAAAGGTCGTATGAAGTTCGTGTAGAACCGGCATACAAGGAGAAACAAGTAGGTAGTGTTGTTGAAACGGGTAGTGTATACCGTAATGCAGTCATCAACAACTAAGAAATTTGATATTGCAATGAAAGTTATCGCGGATCCTTACGGGATAAACGGCGGAGACGAACAAGGTGGCTCCCGTAAAGATCACAATTAAGAATGTTGAAGTCGACGTGGATCCGTCCTACTTCCGATAAATACATGTGATATCGAATATTCCTAGACAGAATTTTTTATTGCAAGATCCATATGATCATGGTAAAACACAAAAATCGCTTATTGCTTTGAGGAACATTAAAGATTTTATACATATGCTGCCTTTCTATTACAAGGAGTTGCAAAACTGAAAAGTTGCATGTGGTTGAGTTGAAATTTTAAAGTAAGCTCTCACTCACTAATTGTTTATTACTAACAACTTACTAACAATGACCGCGTACATCAGTGATAAGACATCAACCTCCGAGCTTCGGACTCCTTTGGACACATCACCACCTTATCATCATAGCCTACACCAAGGCTGTGACGCACCTTAGTCCACATCAGAGATAGGATATCGACCCCTGACCTTCGGACACTTTTCCACATCATAACCTACACCGAGCCCTCTCAACTTCCTCAAACCAAAACGTATATAAACCGAGACTTCACCCAGCTCGAGCAGTTCTTGTCCTAGTCGCTGTTCTCGTACAACCCCTTCCTCCGGTTCAAAGTTTGATAAAATTAGATTAATAGTTGAGTTACGACTCAGCCTTCCTTTCTCTTACAATCCAAGTACCAATTTTTCGTGACAACCGACTGGCCGGCAGAGGACGTATCCCCGCCCGAGCCCAGGCCCTGCAGTTGATGGTACACCCGTCGGAGGGCTAGGGCCTGGAGCTTGAACGGAGGAGACGCCGCCAGGACAGTCGCCGACACCATATGACACCGTCTGGTATCCCCTTACGGTCCTGATGGCGATCGTCCTATGAAGATTTCCGAACCAATACTGCGCTCTCATCAATTGGAGAGGTTGAAATCTAGCATAAAGAGGGACTAGTGCCCCTCATTCACCTTTCCAGTTGTCACACGGAACGCGGTGGCGACGGAAAAATCACCTCTCGAGTGCAAACTATTCAGTTTCTGTATTACTTGCTAACTACCGGATAAAATGACACAGTTGAAATCTTTTGTTTATTGGTTGGAGCGATCTGGGCTGCGAGGCAGTGAAAAAATATGTTATAACCCAATTATAAATATGTCGGAAATGAAAGGACACCGGAGCCTTCCCTTTGGAATTTTTGGGAAAGTACCTTAACGCCTTAATCTAGATTCTACCATAATTAATTCTACAGTAATTAAGCAATTGTCGTCATTCAATCCAACTATAGCCGCAATTAAGCAATTGTCGTTATTCAATCCGATTGTATTTCTTCGAGATTTGTGATATTGAACTTGGGCTCGAGGCGACAATCAGTCGCCGAAAGTAGCCGGAGTCAAAGGATGAACATTTTTACCTAACAGAGGTGTTTGTTCGACCAATCGCGGGGAGACGTAATCGCGAGGAGAGACGTCAACGGGGGTCGTAAATCCCCGTTACGATTATAACAATCGACACCACGAATCGATCGATCCCCTGATTTCCGTTGAGATAATAAGAGGTGATTGAGTTTGTATAACACTGTGATTCACAGAATTATAAATTATATATTTCCAACACTTAGATTA